ACTGCCATAAACAAACTTCTCGTAAGAAACCTCGAAGACGACACGGCTTCAGAGCCCTGCTTGATAGAGCTGTTACCACAATGCTGCCCTGCACGCCCAGTGAAGAGGGAACAAGCCCTGGCACAAGCACAGTGTGATTCAGCTAAACCAGAACTTGAGAGCACAGGGTCCTGACAACCAAGTACCTCCCAGCTTCAGCAGTGGCTTGTATTCATGACTTCAGTACTAGTCCCAAACAGAAAAAAGTTTTAAAACACTATAAAAGGTCTCTATAAATGTCAATAAAAACCAAACAGCTATCAGGAAATAAGCAGCAGAAGCTACTGGCACACATCGGCTTCCACCTCACCTTCTCTACAGTATTTATTGTTTAACAAGTGTAATGAAAACTGTCAAGACACACCTTTTCAGTGCGCTGCAGAACGGACGTCCCGTCCCACTTTTTGCACCAGCACTTAGGGATGCTCACAGACACACTTAAACAAGGACGATGTCTCAGCAAACCACCTTTTCACGGTTTCACGACAACTCCAAATACTCCAAGTGCCAGCATGCAGAGGAAAGGACAGGAGTTAGTGATGGGGGACACGTCCCACCACATCTCCGTGGAAGTCTGTTTTGGCACTGGCAGAGAGGTTACGGTTTTGTGGCTGTGCAAGGCTCTTACAAGGCCTGCAATGTTTTAGGGATGTCAGAAGGTTGAACAGCACCAGTGAGAAGATGCAAATGCTGTCAGGTTATTTCTGACCAAAATCCATTTACAGCTTGTAAATACAAGTAAACGGAAAATAACGCGAGTTTAATTTTACATTTTTATTTTTGTTTAGCTATATTATGCTCATCTGGAAAAAGATGAAAATATGGTTACTGGTCCATTACTAAGTTAGAAAAGCCTCGGGGAACAGTAGAGTACATGCACCCATCTGTAATCTGTTCACGCAGATGCGTGAAAACCAAAGACAAAAATTGTTCAGATAACAAAAATGTCTTAATTTAATTTCTAATACAGCAGCAAAATCCCTGTGTAACAACATTAAGTTCATCTAAGAATATGAGCTTAAATATCCTCTTTGTTAAGGTAGTTCCCACATGCTCCCTGCGATACAGGCAAGCAGACAGTAAACTAGCCAAATATTAGGAGTTGCAAGTTTCAGCTGGCCAGGAACAACTCATGCCAGACAGTGACAGGTCTGTTCAGATGAGAACATCTGCTGCTACTGCTGAGGATACCAGGAATACTTGGACCAAATCTATCCTCTAAAAGGTTTGCGGATATATGCTACAACTTACACCGAACTTACTAGTGCAAGCATGGTTTATTCTGGCAAGAGCACTCTTATGCCACCATAATTTACACTAGGCCCACAAATTAAACAAAATAAACCAGGCCAATACAATTGTACCTACATTAGGGCAATTGCCAGGACAAAAAGTGCTAAAAAAAAGTGCAGGCTTCTGGCTGATTTGTTACAGAAGAGAAAATCAAGAGCTAACCTGGCTCGAATTTAACTTCTCTGGGATGCACAGCAACATCACTTTGAGCCAAACCACGCTCTGTCCTATGGCAGTGTCTTCCTAAGGAATCCTCCTTTTCTCAGGCTCAGGAACATACCACAAGATGTAGAGATATGCAGGAAGACGTCTGTGTTTTGTAAAAGACAGGATTTGCTCCAGGGGCACACAGAGGGATTAGATAAACCTGTACATATACGGCAATTCTGTAGGAATTCACACAACCACCCCAGACCTCACTGCTCTCAGCGAGCTACAAGCAACTTGGCATTAAGAAGTTGAGGCAAAACCTCAAGAATCAAACTACCGCAAAAAGTAGAAGTCTTACTGGTCCCACAGACTGAAAATTTATTTGTGAAACAGGCATTATTTTTTTTTTCCTGTACTTGCAGAAGCTAGCCTACGGGCAAGAAAGGCAGATGGGACCCATGACACCAGTTAACACTTCCGTGTGTTTCTGCGTGCCCTTCACGTCTTTTGTCCTCTCCCCGCTGAAGCTGCCATTTTTGAGCTGCATGGATAATCCAGTTGCCAAATAACCAGAGGGAAGCCACATCACTATAATTTACAAGTGTCCTGCTCATAACCAGTCAGCCAAACAGCTTCCATGCAAAACTAAAAAACAGGTAACGCTCCTCTCTCTGTGGCTGCACAAATCCTTCAGCACACACAGACTCTGCTCACACCCAACCACCCCCTCAGAAAGTCCATGCCTACTTATTTTCCTACTCACACCCTAAACTAAGCATTCATGCAAACCCTACACAGCTTCTGAACTCGCCCACCAACTTGCCCACAGCCACAATACATAATGACACAGCCAGATACAGAAAACACCACACCAACTCATACTTCCACTGCTTCACTGCTAAGTCTGTTTCATGTATCCACTCATTTTTCTTCCAAGTTTTACTTCTGAAATTAGTTAATGGATTTTTCTGAGCTTTACATTGGAATTTTTCAAATGAGAGCAACCCAAATCAATTGGCATTTGGAGACTGTAACAACCTCTGGTACTGGAGCACACTTTGGAATCACCTACCCTTAAAATACAAGGACATAAAAGCATTGAGTCTCCTGCAGTAACTCTTTATATAGAAACCTAAACCGATCATTTTATTTATATGGGACTTCCATAGACTAGCTACAGGCTGGAGATTATCTCCAAAAAGAGCCGCTGAAACGTTACTTTTGGCGGGAAACGTAATGCTCCAACACCGGCAACCTACCTGACCAATTCTACCCAATGTGAAGACCAGCTGGACTAAGAGACAGATCCTGGAGTGATAGAAAGAAGAGAGATATGCAGCAGGTAAAAATTAGGCTCTGCAAAGGTAAGCAATATAAATGTGTTTCTTAATGTGCCATACAAGAACTAGGTACATGTATTTTGGTTCTTTACATCTTGCAAGCCCGAGGAGAAAAGATGAGTAAGCTTAAAAAAAAAAAAAACACCCAAAACCCAACAAACTTAATCATATTTATATATTAATGCATGTAACCTACTTTCACACATAGTTAATGAGTTCCTTCATGGGATTTGAACCTGAACAATTTTGAGTTTAAAAAAACCACAACTCTAACGACTACAAGTTTTGTTGCTCATGTAGTTCTGTCTGGCGCTCTTACTCCTCACACACACTTAACTCATGTTTCCCCAGTACATTTCTCAGAGATGAACAAAATGCAATATTTAAAGATGAAATTCTGTGAAAGGGAGCTTCTCCACAGAAAAATTTACAATATCTTTTAATTAAGCAGTCTTTTTCACCATAAAAAATTGGATGTTTCCTGTAAACTCATCTTGCTGTTAGAGTAGAACAGCAGTTTTCCCAAGAAAATGACCTCTTCCCACCTAGAGCAACCCTTCTGAACCTTAATTTCAGATATGTCATTCGGTCATCTAAAATATGATGACCAACAACCTAAAAAGCATTCAGGCATTTTGAAGAGTATGGGATCGATGGCTCACTTCAATTTCACATCTTTAATTTGTCTTTCACCACAGTCTTCCAAAACTGCTTCTCAAGACAAGCAGTGAAAAACATTATTATTAGTACATAGGCTCCGTGGTGTCTTCTTTGCAAATTCTTGCTGATCTTCCTTCTGTGAATTTTATTTCACTTCATATCTCAGCTCTGCTAGGTCAACCAGTGCAGAAAACTGTTTCTTTAAGTCCGTCCACAATCAACACCCATTTAAAAGTTAATCGCCAAGTTCATACTCTATTTATTTTTAGTTTATTTGTGTACTTGAGAACGTCGAAGTTGTACTGCAATGGTCACCCAAAATACCATGTTGCCTAAAAGCAGACAATACAACACTGAAGCAGGTTGCATTTTTTTTTTGGAGAGTAGCACACAGACTCCCCATCCCCACCTAGCGCAAAGATGCAGATTTTATGACAATTTCCCAGGAAGCTACAACTAGAAGGAATGCCCAACCATTACGAAAAGTCTGCTACAGACTTACGGTAATGCTGTGTTTAAGTGATACTGAAAGGTCTGCTCCCACTTTACAAAGACAAAACTAATGTCTTTATTACCGGCGAATGACAGGACTTAAAAATAAAAACCCTTTGGAATTAACTGCTTGTACGTTTCGTTTGCCCTCTACGATGTGCAGATGCGTACTATAAAAATCTTATGGCGGGTATATTCTTTTCACTTGATGTCATCGGACTCGTGCGACGGAGAAGGTCAAACCGCTGTCAGTGGCCGCAGCAGGACCTTTCATGAAATGGGTTTCACGGTCCAGGACAGACTGTTTGCCGGGCCACCTCCGAAACCATGACTGTGCTAACGCAGCGGGTCCTCCCCAGCGCTCACCGTCCAACGGCACAGTTGTGACGGCACATGCCGCTGGCACCCGCTGCCAAGAGCGGGCGGCTCGGCCGGGCTTTGACACCTCTGGCAATTTCCGAGTTCTGTTCTCGGGTACTGTACGGGCACGAGGGAACAGGAGGTGGGGAGAAAAAACGATTTTTTATTTTAATCTGAAAGCTGACGTACTTCAGAATCCATAACCACCTCCTGGAGCCTTGTCTTGCTAAAAGGCATTAAGAAGGAAAAAAAAAAACCCCAAAACCAACCCAACCAGAAAGGACCCTGAAGTGCTGACTCGGTGCAGCCGGCGGACCGGAGCTGCCCCGCGGCCCAACGACCCCCCCGCAGCCGGTACGCGCTGGGGGGTTTCTCTGGGTCGCTCTCCTCCGCCAGGCGCTCGGTGGCGGGTTCCCCCCCCGCCCCAGCGGGTTAAGCGGCCTTTCAAACCCGAAAAAAAAAACCCCAAAAGAGCGGCAGTTTTAGTGCGGAGGACGCGAGCGCTCCTCCGGAGGGACCCGCCCGGGCAAAGCCCCGGCGGGGAGAGCAGGCCCGTCTCCCCCGCCCCGGCCTCCCCTCACTCTTCCCTCCTGAAGAGAAGCCGCCGTGCCCGCTCCTTACGTAACCGTAACGGCCACCCCCGGCCGCCCCCGGCCCCGGCCGTACCTGATGTAGGGGCTGGCGGCCGCCAGGATGTTCTTCTGCACCGGGATCTCCTCCCCCTCCAGCACCAGGTGCGCGTCGCAGAAGCGGCTCTCCTCGCGGAAGGAGCTGAGGGCCCGCAGCAGCCGCGCCGGGTGCTGGGGGTCGGACACGGCGCTCGGCCCCGACATGCTGCCGGGCTCCGCCGCGCCGCGCCGCGCCGCGCCGCGCCGGGCCGGCCGCCTCAGTCGCTGCCCTCACACCATGGCTGCCAGCCCGCCGCTGACATCATCTC